CCCCAAAACCCCAAAACCCCGTAAATTAGAAATTTTGAGTTTATTGTTGAAATGAAAAAAACTAAATCCAAATTATCTCGAGTTAAAAAAAGTAAAAACAAAAAATCTAAAGCTATATAGAAACCTAAAAAATCTCCTGCTAAAAAGCCATAGACTTAGCCTATTTCTCAAAAATAATCTACAGTAAAGCCAAAATAAAATGCTAAAAATGGAAAAAAATCAGCAAAATCAAAGCCTCCTCCATTGACTTAAAAAACTACTAAGTCCAAAAATTAAATTGTAATTGAAAAATCTAAACTCATTTAGTCAAATAGAAATTCACAATAATCAATAAAGCCAATAGTAGGCAAAAAGAAATCTTAAACTTGTAAGAAAGTAGAGATTACTGAAAAGATAAAAACTAAATCTCGCAGTAAATCTCCAATTAAATAGAAATAATCAACTTCAGGAAGAGTTTAAAGAGAATCGAACAATAAATAAAAGAATTATTCAACTAGGGCTTAAATTATAATTGACATTTAGAAATGTCATCTCCTAACTGAAAAATAGCTTTTAGATCTCTAAAATGTTTAAATAAAACAAGAAATCTCTCCAGAAGATAATCTCTAGAACCAACTTAAAAAAATTAAATCTACAATAGTAAACCTAAAGAGAGCCAAGAAAACCTTAAGATTATAACCTAAATCGAGCTCAAGTCTGAATAGTCAAGTTAAAAACAAACTTAAAAGCAAGTTGAAAGGAATGAGAGGAGGGGCATTGGTTTTCAATGGGGATAGCACTTCTTAGTCTCAGTAGGTCACCTCCGAATCTGATGATAATTATGAACTCTACTGTGATATTTGCAATAATGGAAAAGTCTATGCTAATTGTGCAGCTCTTAAAAAGCATAAGTACAATCATGAGGATCGATCAACATATCCATGCGATTATCCTGGATGCAATGCTATTTTCCAAGATCGAAATAAATTAAGACGCCATTCTATTGTCCATACTGGTGAAAAACCTTACAAGTGTGACTTTTGTGGCAAGAGATTTGGTTTGGAGTATAATATGTTCATTCATTAAAGAATTCACTCTGGAGAGAAGCCATTCACTTGCAAGCATCCTGGATGCTTTAGAGGTTTTAATTAAAGAAGCAATTTGTTAGCTCATGAAAAGATTCATACAGCCCAGTAAGGAGATTTATCTTAGTAGGCAACATCTGATTAGAAATTTGGTTCAATGACATTAAGATCAAATAGAAATATTAATACTAACATAAATGTCTCATTAACTTAAAGAGACAATAATCCATATGGCCTAGTTAAAGTTGATCCTAGGAGACTAATTTTTAAGATCATTAAGGTTTACCCTTAGTAATAATTGGTAAGGCCCATAGATCAAGAAGAGGAAATCATCATGGATTCCTTCTCAGATGACTAGCTGAATAATCTTCAAATTAAAAATGAAGAAGTGAAGTAGATATCCCAAAGAGAGTACTTTTTGTAGATGATTAAGACATTTAAGGCCATTAATGAGGAGAAGAAGTACTCTGAAGATGAGAAATTTATAGAGAGATGCGAAAATAATCATTCACTTTATAAATAATAGAAAGATATCTACTTTACAAGCTAGAGCTATGATGGTCTACTTCAAATGCTGCAATACAAGTATGAGCAGAAGACGCTAAAATATACAAGGCTTTCAGAAAATCTATTTAACTAGAATTAATTAGCAAATATAAAATCTGAATGATCAAGAATTTAGTTTTTATCTTAATCCTTTGTTTTAATGATTGCATTTATTTTAAATTATGGGGTTTTGGGGTTTTGGGG